TTTTGTGTAGTTGAAGCATGAGACCTGAATGACACTTCCCTGATAGGTACATAAGTGAAACTTGAATGAGAACAGACAGTGTTGTGGCTGGAAATGCCTTGACACACATCTTAGCCTTTCTGATGTATTTCAAATGCATAAACCTGCAGGAACTGTATTGAGCCCTGTGTTAGGATGGAACAATGTTTTTCTTTGGCTAGTTCCAATTCCAGTGAGAGAGGATTCTATAGGAGTGTGTGAAAGTTAAAAAAAAAAAAAAAGGAAATTCTTCTTAATACTGGTAATGGAAGAAAATACACAAGCAGATAACAAACCCAATGGTTTGCTTAAAATGTGGAAGAGAACATGGGGTGAAGCAGATGGATCATTAGGCTTTGAGGCTGTGACATTTGAAAGCCAGAGTTACATTTTCTTTGAAACTGTGAATAAACAGCTTGGGAATAGTCTGGGATGTTCTTTTCTGATTCTGATTTCGTTTTATTTGTCTCTGAACTGAAAAGCAAGTGATAGTTAAATTGTCCTATTTAATGATTATGCTGAAATGTATTACCTTTAAAATATTTTGACCCATTTGTAATTGATTTCAGTATAACTGGAATCTAAGTTTATAAAAAGGTCCATTTAAAGACCTAAATTCTTGCAATTGTTATGGGACTACTCTCTTGATTTAAGTTCATCTCATAGAATGTTATTCATGACATGTATTTGCATAACTGCATAGCATCTTAGAGCTGGAAGGAACATAGCAATGTGAAAATAAAAGAAGACCAGACAAATGAAAATGGGCAGAGATTATTTATTCAGAGCTTGCATTTGGCAGAGACTCAGAGGCAGACAGAGAAATGGGAAAGCAAAGTGGAAAAAGAAATGTTAAATTTAGCCGAAAGATGCCTCCCTACAGTCTAACTTAGTGTATAAACAAACTGCAACCTAACTTAAGATTATATACTTATAACAAATAGCAGAGCCTAAGCCAATCATAGCAGCCAAGCTTTCAGCTAATCACAGGCTATAACTGCCAAAACATGTCCAATGCTGGAAATGTAGCAAATTTCTGCATGTCATTTTCTTTATCTGTCTATAAATACTGCCTGCTCACATCACTGAATGAAGCTCTCTGAAATTTTACTGGTTCAGGTTGCTGCCCAATTCATGAATTATGTCTTTGCTTTGGTGAATTCTACTGAATTTCATTTATCTGAAGTTTTCCTTTTAACATAAGGAAGGCTTCAGGTATGCTCTCAGCCTGGGGAAGTGGGAATCATGCTAACCAGAAATAGAGCCTGGCCTGTGATTGGTTAAATGTGTGTATTTGTCTTTCTTTTAGTTTGTTCTTAGTTGGATGCTGGAGCAAAAATTGTGAAAATGACTCATTTTTAATGCACTTGTATTAGGTTCTTATTATTGTGACCAAAATACCTGACATAAACAACTTAAAGGAAAAAAGTCTTATTTTGGTTCACAGTTTCAGAGGTTTCAGTCCAAGGTCATCTGGCTTCCTTGCTTGGAGCCTGAGGAGAGGCAGGACATCATGGCAGAAGGAAAATGAGTGGCAGAGGAAAGCTGCTCAGCTCACAGCATGTCCCTTCTCTCTCTCTGTGCTTGGAAAGCAGGGAGAGAGAAGGGACATGCGAAAAGAAGCCGTTTTCTAGGTTATCCCCCCTCTCTGAAACCAGTTCTCTTCAACTAGGCCCCACATCCCACAATTACCACTACATTCCAATATTACAAAGCTGAGGTCTTCTGTGTGACTGAGGCAGCATGAAGACCTACCCTTCAAACCCTGATTCTTGCTATCAAGTTAGAAAGATTTCTGTTGCTCAGAGTAATGGGATTGACTTTACTGAAGGGTTAGGAGAAAGGAAAGGGGACACTCTCAAGGGAGAGAGTGAATTCTGTCAGAGAGGAGAGGAACAGTGTACCTCTTCTGCACTGTAGTTTTATTGGGGATCCCAGAGAAGTTTCCAGAGAGTCCTGCCCAGGTCCACCTCTTGACTTTTGACTGACAGCAAGATGGTATCAGATTTTCAAGTACCTATTGCTATGACAATTCTAGGTCCCCTTGGCCCATGCTGAGTAGTTCTTATTGAATTCTTCACCATACCTTCTTATAGATTCTATGGTTAGAATCCTTGTCTTCGGGAATATGGTCAATGAAAAGGATCACAAGAGTCTCTCCCTTCAGAATAACTTGTGTTTCTCTTATTGTCCTTATTTCATGCCTGCATTCCCTTGCAGATAAAGGTAGTTTGCTGAGGTTTGTGACATATCCTGCCTACTTAAGCCAGGCAGGGCTTCAGGTAAATTGCTGTATGGCAAAGAAAGTATGTGGGGGTCATCATGGTGAGACAATATTTTGGAATTATTCTCTTAACCTCATGTTCCCACCATCCTCTTCTGTCTGTCCTCTAATATCAATAGTTCATTCAAATTATTAATTCATCAAGTGGATTAATCCACTAATGAAGTTAGAGTCCTCATGATCCAATCATTTCCTAAAAGCCTAATCTCTGAACATCTCCTTCAACAAAGGAGTTTTTGGGAGACACTTCATATCCAAACCATATCTCTAGTCTTGACCAGTTGAGGCCAATTGTTACATGGGCTACTGTTTGGCTTTCTGGATTAGTAGCTAGATAGAGTGGTCTAAATTTCTACCAGTCTGGCTTTTACTGCAGAGATTGGCTTCCTGGGCAGGTTATTACAGATAATGGATTAGAGTTCTATTTTTATATGTGATCTGGGAACTTTCCATTTGTACATACCATTTCCTAATGATTATATAGTTTAAATGTAGAAGAATTAAATTCATAAAGGAGCAGGGTTATTACTTATTTAAATGAATATTACTTTTATTTGTGTGTAACTTTTTAGGTTCCAAAATGCTTAAAAATGTAGAATATTGTTAAATTATTCAAATAAAACTAAAGAAGTTAGGCAGGGCTGGCATTATCCCACTTTGTCCTGCTGAAAATGAGGCTCCTGGAGGAGAAACCAGATGTTACATCACTGGGGTCACCAGGCAGGGCTGCAGAGCAGAGGCCTCTGAGATTCCTGATCACAGCTGCTCGGTATAGCACAACTACTGTTTTTCCTACTGATTCAGATGAGGGACCAAAGTGTGACATTTGTGCTGTCACCCTGCTGAAAGTTGATGAGTATTTGAACCTAAAAGTAGAAACAATAGAATATGGGTGCTTTGAATCATTTCTGTGTCCTTGAGTCATTCACTTTGGTTTTTCTCAGAAATTCATTTTTTGAATTAAACTCAACACTTGAATTTTACAACTTGTGATAATCAGATTTTGAAAATATTATCAGCTGCATGCCCCTTTAATACATTTATTATCACTTGATGCTCTTGTTCCAGCAGAAATACTGTGTTTCCTACACATATCAGAACAATGCCTAAGGAGTTGAGAAACCTATTAAATAAATGAATTACTAAATGAAATATCTATTGAAAAGAATGCTAGGTGCTAGGAAAGTGAAAACTAGCATCCAAGAACTCCATAGCCTTTTGAGGAGAGCAGATAGATACAGAGGTATGTAAGACAAGTCCATGAACAGATGACCATAACCAGGTGGGGGTAGTGAGCTTCAAGAAAATACTTAAATTGAGTAACCCATTGAGTAGTTACTGAGCACAGACAAAATTTATATATATTCAAGCAGGAAAGGTTGTAAGTAGTTGTGGAAGACAGCATGTGTTTCTTGGAGGTAGAGAAGGAAGAAGAAGCTGTAGCCATTTCAGTAATGTTGATTGAGAAACAGTGATCAACAGAGAGTGACAAAGTTAGGAAAGGAAGAGCAAGTTGGCAAAGATTCTTGTGGGCCATAGTAAGGAGCTTAGTCAGTACCCTGTGGAAACTGGAGGCTTCTCAAAGGATTAGATTTGCATTTTAAATAGATGATTTGGGCAGTATAAGGAGCTTGTACTTGGAGGAATCAAAGACAGAGTCAAGTTGCAATAATTCAAAGGAGATGATTAGAGCTTGAAAAGGAGCAGTTGAGTTAGATATGATACAAAGTAGAAGAGAAGGGGAAACAAGACATTCAGAAATAAAATCTGCACAATGTTCTGCTGATGGGTTTGGACAGTAGCAATTAAAGAACGGGAGATAAAAATTAGCTGGACAGGAGGGACTATTAGGTTAAGGAGAAATGTTATCTGTTCAGTATCTGAAATGTTGCATTTGTGTTATCCACAGAAGATCTGGATGGACTTACTGAACAGGCAGTTGGATAAATGAACTGAAATCTAAGAAGAGTTGTCCAGGCCTCTGATAAACTATCAACCATCACTAATGTTCAGATGATTGCTAGCTGAGCCCTGCAGAATAAAATCATGGAAAGAGTGTAGAGAGAATGAGAAGGACTGTGGCTAAGCTTGTACCTTTGAAAAACTAATGTATCAGGGATGCATGGAGGAAGAGAAAGTATTTTGTATTGATTTCTACAAAAAGGGCGTTAGACATAGATAACCAAACGCTGGAAGAGGAAGCATCAGTGAAAGCAAAAGAATCAAACATGCACATCGATGAGTGATGGAGAAATTGTCACTGACTGAAAATGTTTTTTAAATTCATTAACTAGAAGGTGCTAGGTGATCTTAGAGAAAATAGGTTTTGTGGAGTGGTTGGGCTGATTCAGGTCACAGAGGGTAGTAAAGTAAATGAAAGATGAGAAAGTCAATAATAGATGTAAATTGTTCTTTAAGAAACGTCCTTAAAGATGAGCACAAGGGAAGAGTTATTAAAGAAGACTTGAGTTTCATTTTGCAAAGAAAAAAAACATACTCCCTTGACCTATTCACCTGAGAAAAATATCTCATGGGATCTGTGTCCCTATTACATTTAAATATTATAGTTTCCAATACAAGTATAAGTTCTCTACAACATATTGGAAGTGTTTTAGAAAACAACTTTTTAATTTCTTAAAAGAAATTTAGGAAAGATTTGGCTTCTGTTTAATGGAAGGTATTTTTTGTTAATACACAGAATCCACAGAGGAGCTGAAAGTCCGAAGTCATAGCACAGAGCCACTGCCCAAGTTGGAAAGCAAAGAGAGAGGGCACCATGGGTCATCATCCTCGAGAGAGCCTATCAAAGCTCAGGAATGGGATGGAACACCAGGTCCACCTGTGGTCACCAGTAGGATGGGAAGGTGCTCTGTGAGCCCCACCTTGTTGGCAGGAAACCACAGCTCAGGTAAGTAGGATTATGATTTTCATGATGGTAATTCTTTATAGTTCTAGAAATTCTGCTCTCATGCAAATAGTACTTAGAGAAACATCACCACAGAAACATCTGTCTCCACTCAGAGAGAGAGTGTAGGCCTTCATATGAAGGAGTGCACAGTGTATTGTACCACTCCAGGGTCCTTCTTTTCACAGAGATGATAGGTAAGTAAATAGTGCCACTGGAGCCCTGGGAAGCAGCAGCCTGACAGCTTGAAAAGTTTTGTGCTAAATTTCTTCAAACACCTCTAGAGGCCTCTAGTAAAGTGGACTTTATTTTTAAAAGTTTGGTTTAGTATTTATGCCTCCTTTGCTTAAAAAAATATTTTAGGCAACTGGTAAAATTTGAACAAGATAAAACTGAAGATAGCAATGGGATGAAGATGATTACAAGCAGTAGAAAGAGTAGATATTCTGAGGTGTCTGAAGTGGTGAGCTGAGAAAGTAACTGGGCATTGCACCTAGTCTTCAAATCTAAGTCAAAAGAGAAATTTTTAATCTAATATGCCTCTAAATTTCACATCTTGAAATTAATAGTATGCAATGCAATTTTGCATGGTTAATAGATCAATATTTTTATACATCAATTTTTAACAGCAGCATATGTCTGCTTTGAACTGATTAATGCACATGCTGTTCTCACAGAGAGCTGACAATTGAAATGAACTGCAAATAATCAAGGAACCTTCTGTAGTTTTTCAGGTCTGTATTCCTTCAGAGTGTTAGGGCTCTAAAGAAAAGATCAATCCTTTAATTTTTTTTCAACTTTGATACTCGCCTTAGAAAGCAATTTACATGAATTTAGCCTATGGTCTCTCTGACACTCATGCATATGTTAAAATTTTAGCAGGATGAATGATCCTTGGTGTGTGATACTGCTGAAAACATTCCCAGTAATATCTCCTACAGCCTCAAAAATCCAACTCAGTTTTGATGGTGGAACCAAAGCATGTTATCATGTGGAAAACTAACATCACAGCCTACGTTCAAATCTGATAAGAGACGTGTGCCTTTAGCAGAAATTTTAAAAGACATTTTACAGTAAACTATAAATTGCTATAGATGAATGAGAAGAAGATATTTGCATATCTTGTCAAAAAGAAAGAGGGAGCAAATGATTTTTATCACCCCCTAAAATGATGTCACTTATTGACTGAGCCTTATTATTAGTTTGGGGCTTATTATTATTTTTTAAAGAATTTTCTAAATTTATACCAGTTCTATTTAAAATATGTGAATAACATAATATATTGTGACCACAGATATATTTTAGGAAAAATAGAAGTATTACCTGAGTGCTAAAAATGCAACAGCTACTATTTAAGGGTATGAAGATTCAATGATGAATAAAATATTCTTGCATTGGGTGTTCAAGGTCTGGTGCAAGAAAGACAAATAGAAAATTACAATGTAATGTGTTTTAGAATACTCAGAGAAAAAGAACCAATAAGATATTTATAGGTATACAGAAAGAGATTTATTATGAGGAAATGGCTCACATAATTAGGTAGGCTTAAAAGTCCTGTGATCTGCCACCTGTAAGTTGAAAGCCCAGGAAAGCCAATGGGTGTGGTTCAATTTGATCTCAAAGGTATGATATCCGTGGAAGTAAAAATGTTGCAAATCCCAATCTGAGTCCAAAGGTTTAAAAACGAGAGTGCTGATTTCCAAGAGCAAAAGATGGATATCCCAGCTAAGTAGAGAGAGTGAATTAATGGAACAAATTGTGTTTATTGTGAAGGACAGGGGAAGGTCGATTGAAGAAAATACAAATGTACGTGCAATGTTCCTGAAGGGCCTTGCATATTAATTAGAAATGCTTTCAGCTACATAGCACAAGCTATCAGGGTCTTTTACAATAATGGCCTTTGTTGGCTCCCTTTGCATCAAGTTTGGAGGTCAACTGTGCAACTGTTTTGCAGTGGGTCAAGATATCATCAAGGACCCAGGAACTGTCTCTGCTCTATTTTCTCAGTCTCCTCTTCTGCTACCCTTGAATCTTGTTTTCATGATCTCAACTGAACACACGTTTTTGGGCACGATGCCCCAGCAGACTCTGTCCCTTTCATCTAATTGATCAGAAATTGGAAACATGCTTCTGGGACCAACCACTTAGTGAAAGGGATGGGACTTCCTGGGCTTATTCAAATCCTTTTCCCCTCTAAATCAAGAAGAGTCTATCTGATATCTATAAATAACAACAGTGTATTTGCAGGCATAAGGGGCATAAGCAATGGACAGTATCTGCCACATCATTATTAGGTTTTGACCATTATGTAAAGGACATTTTAAAGGTAGGAATAATTCAATTTGGTTTGCATCATAGAAGACTCAGTGAGCACTCCAAGGCTTTAAATGTGTGTGATAGAAAGGCCATTTACTGAGACAAGGACAGTCCATATGAAACATGGAACAAGGTTTAGGAGGGAATGTCAGAACTTAAATTTTGACCATGTATGCAATTGGACATGCTCTGGACATATAATTGAGAAGACAGTTGGAATCATAGGTCTGAAGTCAGGGAGATGAGGTGTGACTCAGTAGTGGGACTAGAGAACTTTGTAGTGATTAGAAAGTAAACTGGAAAAGCCCAAATTAGAAGAGAAGAAAACTGAAATGAAAAGGAAATTGAGCTGGGATCCTGGGAAATCCAAACATTTCACATGTGTTCAAAAACAGAAGAATCTGGGGGATGAATTGAAATGACACACTTACATGAGGAGTTGGCTCACATAATTAGGTAGGCTTAAAAATCCTGTGATCTGCCACCTGTAAGTTGAAAGCCCAGGAAAGCCAATGGTGTGGTTCAATTCAATCTCAAAGGTATGATAACCATGGAAGTCAATGTTGCATTACAGACCTAATCTGTAATGAAACCCTTACTGAACACTTAATAAGTTGCATAAAAACTGGTAAATATAAACCTTTAGTGTCTCCAACACTTTGACATGAATCTTCAAAGAAATTCAGAGTGTAAACAATTATACCATAGTTTTACTTTCTTTTGCCTCAAACCCCTGAAGCTTCTGTTTTGTTTTACAGCATCTAAAGTCTGCTCTTCTGAGTCTTTAGCTCTGTTTATAGAGCAATAAATTGTCTAGTAACCAGAAGAAATGACAAAAATATATTTAGTCCCTCATGCTCCCTGCTTTAGATTCTGAGGCAGTTAGATAAAGGTGGAGGAAGAAAATATTTTTGTTAAAAATTGTGTTATCAAGTTGTTGGATCCCTAAAAGATTCCAAATGTTGAGGCAATGTGATCACATATTTAATGTCACTGCAAGTCAGAGTGTATTGAAAGAGCTACTCAATGATCTTTGCCATTACTTGGTTCTGTAGTTGATCCTTCTACCACTTTTGAGGAAGAAATGGAGAAAAGGGGAAAAAAAAAACATTTATTGTGTTGTTAGCTTTAATTGTTTTGAAGAGAAAGAATGAAAAGTGTGCCAATTCTATCCTAATAAATGCCATAATTCCTCTAGTGAGAATATATAAAATAGAGAGTCTGAAGTTAACTTGTTTTTGTAGGTGAAGATGGAATTTTGGACTTGCTATTGTGGAACAGAGGAGAATAAGAACTGTTTTTCCTTCTTTTTACACTTCTTCTTTATTATCTCTGGGTCACTGGGCCACTGAACGACTCATTCCCTACAAGAAACACCAGAACAGTCATCTGTCACCTTCTGCCTAAGCCACATAGGTGTTAACACCACACCCAACCTAGAGAGGAAGGAAGATTCCACATGTGAACTCCTGTCTCCTTTTTTCAACTTTCTGGCGCTCTCTCTCTCTCTCCCCGCCCCTCCCCACCACTCACATACATACACATACAAACTTCTACCAGTCACAGACCGTTGCTTTACCAAAAGTAGTTTAGCCACTTGAAATGGTTGTTGTAACGGCTCTTGTGAGGACTGAAGGATTGCTGAAGTAAAGCAAACATGTCAGGAGATCTCAATTCTAATTACCATTGCCGCTGGTTGCTGCTGCACTTTATTAAAGTTACTGTTGTTTAGTAAATCAGAGATTCCCCAGAGGGAGATTCTTGAAGGCAACAGGAAACTGGGACCCAAATGCTTGTAAAAATAATGGGGAAAAGTGGGGAAATTATTTAAGTAAATATGGCATTTACAAAAACTCAGTTTTCAATCACTGAATCAATTAACAAGCAGTTTCCAAGCAGCTTGTATCCAGCTCTGTTATGGTTTCTGGGGGACATATATTCATAGTCACACACAGCACCATCAGCTACATAAAATACAATCTCTGCCTCTCAGAGGTCTTGCTCTGCTTCCTTATGGCTTAGGACTACTGTACGTACTTTAATTAGATTGTAATTAAATGTATTGTTTTTATTATTATCTTCTGTCTACTATACATTTAAAATAATTCTAAGATCAAAACTGTAATGCAGACTTGAAAAATGATACAGGGCTTAATAGGAGACATTAAGCCTTATACCGGGATTTCATCAAATCTTCTGAAAAATCCATATTTTCAGCTGAGTAAAAGAGAACCTCCCATGTGGAATGAAGAAGGTGAACCCAGGGTGGAAGAGCATGGGAGTGCTCATGAAATGTGCATACACATTCACGCGCGTGCACACACATATACAAACGCATACAGAGCTAATACTGTAACATTTAAATCAAAGCAAGAAAGAAAATCCAAAAACTTGGAAGACTGAAGACTTGCAATGAATGTCAGCTTCTCTATGCCCACCCTCGTGTGCTTCTGCTGTGGTGAGCAGGTCTTGGTGCCAGCTGAGATGTCTGTAGGACAGACATGCCTTCAGCAGGTGGAGAGGAGAGGAGCCCCTGGTCAAAGCAGGCCTGCTTTTCTCTCATAGGAAGCACATAGAAATGGATATCACTCTCACAAAAGAAAATAACTTACCATTTTTTTTCTGAAACTTGAAACACTTTTAATGTAAAGTATGTCTTCTCACATTTGGTGGAAGTGAGAATATAA